TTTTCTTCTTGTTTTGCATGTTATAGTTCACCCCTTCACTTTTAGTTTTATTTTTATTTTTAACATTGGCTGGATATCCATTGATCTATAGGACTCTATCTGCTTAGAACTTCTGCTACCTCTGGTAATGGAAGCCCTTTCACCCTCTCCAGTGGAAGTAATAATGACCACAAAGGTGGGCCCTTTTGCCAATTGCTCTCTCCTTGTCTCTCTTCTTGTCTGTTTGTAACATGGTTGTCATTCACATCCAACAGTAGACAGTGATGGAGTGATATGCATCAGCTCGTCAGAATCAGATTGCTACATTACAGAAGGGACCTCATTGGAAAAGGGCTCTCAGACTTCACACAAATCAATTGCACAGCGAGTGCTCTCTGTTTCTAGAGAAGCAGCTACCATGGACGACAGTAACCTACTGAAGATGAGAGTTCGCTCATCAATGTTCAGTTCAAGCAGTGAAACATCGAGGAGCTGTAATGGGTTGAGGTCAAAGTATGATGTTGACGTTGATGATTCTGCAAAAGATTCCATGTGCGAACTCTTCGATAGCCAAGATCCCTTTGCATTTGATGGTGATGACTTTGAGCCCTCAAAGTGGGATGCGAAGTATGGTAAACCGAAAAAATCTCGAATTCCAGCTATGAGAAAGCCTGTGAAAGAACGCCGAAACCACGAGGATCCCTTCGATGTGATGACGATTCAAAGTGAATCTAGTAAACAGCTCAATGAAGACTCAAGTAAACAACAGTGTTCTTCCCAGAAGGGCTCGAATTCCAGTGTTTCAGATGAAGAATGCTCTACTCTTCTATCTGAGTGTCTTCTTACATCAGTAAAGGTATTGTTCCTCTCTACTTAGTAACTATTCAATTGCAGCTTCATTAGACAATAATAATAAGCAATAAGGACAATGTGATAATTACAAACGAAATTTATCTCCCTAATACATTTCACCCGTGAATGTTGGAGCTTAGCAGTTTCTCTAATTACATTTTGTTCTTCTGTCTGGGTAGGTTCTGATGAATCTAACGAATGAAAACCCTGTGGGATGTCGGCAAGTTGCTGGATGCAAGGGGTTGGAGACTATGTCTTCACTGATTGCTGACCACTTCCCGTCGTTCGACTCATCTTCCACATCCATTAATTCTGCAGTACTTGAACATCAGAACGAAGGTCGTTTAACTGATCAAGAGCTGGATTTTCTGGTGGCCATCTTGGGTCTCCTTGTCAACCTGGTCGAGAAGGATGGACAAAACAGGTTAAATTATGATTTCTCTACAGCTAGTCTTCTTTCCTGGATTAGGGTGTGTTTGTTCCATCATTTTCATCTCTACTAGGATGGACAAAACAGGTTTACTAAGGTTGGTGTTTCCACAGGTCAAGGCTTGCATCGGCTAGCGTTTCGTTAGCCAGCTCACAAGGGTCGGAAGAGGAGAGTCGTAGGGATGTAATTCCGCTACTGTGTTCCATCTTTCTAGCCCACCTAGGAGAAGGTGATCAATCTGAACAAGGGAATGGCATACAATGGGTGAGTCCACGACCTTCCTTTCTCTAAAAAGACCGTTCTTTATCATTCATCTCACATCCCCAGTTTATCTGTAGCCTGACATTGGCAATTCATCTTGTCTAGGACGATGAGGTGGCACTGCTAGAAGGAGAGAAAGAAGCGGAGAAGATGATCGTGGAGGCTTATGCAGCACTGCTGCTTGCCTTTCTTTCAACTGAAAGGTTTGTTTTATTTGTTTGTTTGTTTGTCTGATTTAAGTGTTTTTGCTGCAAGAGCACAACTCGTTTCGATTGATTTTGAAAAAAACATTGGTTTTGACCGTGCAGCAAGAGCACACGTGATTCAATTGCTGATTGCCTCCCGGATCACAAGCTTTCGGTACTCGTTCCTGTGCTGGAGAGATTTGTGGTGAGCTTTCATACGCGGAATTGTGGGACTATTTCTGCGAACCTAGTGTTCCATTCTATGGTTTCCTTACACATTGTGACACTGAATAGTGGTTTCAGTGCCAAATTGAATGATGCGAAACTCGGTTCTTGGATCGTGGTTCCTCTTCTTTTTTTTTTATGCTGCAGGCATTTCACTTGACGCTGAACATGATCTCGCCGGAGACCCACGAAGTAGTGAAGGAAGTGATCGAATCGTGTAGGCTGCCATGAAAGCTGTTTAGAAGAAACCGTTTGTACAGTTACTGACTCCTCTATCCTCTTCTCTCATTTTCTGTTCTTCTTCCTTCCTTCTTCTTTTGGTGGTGAAATGTCCATTTTTGTTGTATACAAACTAGCTAATCGACAACTGGTGCTTCATAGGCAAGATCGATCGACTGCCATCATAATTCCACTTCTCTTACTTCAATATATTGAGTAGAAGCAGTTCAAGAATCAACATCTGGTTCCCTTGTTCTCGACTCTGTTCCTAGTTGATTACTTTACTACAATAATTCATTTCAGGCCTAGCCAGATCATTTCCGGATTTAAATTAGAGGCCTTGTTGAATTAAAATATAATTAGGACAACAAATAATGATTTTTAGGGCGACGAATAGCAATCCTCATAAATATTTAGGCTATCTAATGCCAAATTGAGTACTGCTCGGTCCGAGGAATTTCTAAATAGTAAAGCAAAATTGGATAAATAAATATTTAGACGCCTGACCGAATACAATATGACCCCATATTCGGTTCAATGAGTTTTCTAAAGAGTAAAAAAAATTAGACCGGATCGATATTTTGACTGGATCAGAATTGAGTTTGCCAATAGTTCAGTTCTGGTCCTCAAATATATCATTTACTTCTGAATTCAGTACGGACTGTTGTTTATAACAAAGCATCTTTGGTCAAGAAAGGCCACAGACAAACTAATTGAGGTGTTAAATAGCAATTTTGGACTGGCCAGCTTGCTGAAGCCGAAGCAGCCTCTTTTGAATTCCAGCGGATCCGCAGCTGCCCTTTCCGCCGGCCCAACATGTTTAGTGACTCACTCAACGCTTACCTCGAAGCCCAGCATCCATCAATCAAATGAGCAAAAGAAATTTCTTCCTCGACCCGACTAAACAAATTAGTGTTATAGGTATAATATGCCCCTCTACTATGATGTATTATCAAACATGCCTCTTTACTATTTTTTACATCAAATATGCCCCTGTACTTTGAAAAAATTATCAAACATGCCCTTCTATTAAAATTTCCATTGAAAAAATCGTCAATCGTGGTTGAACCGAGATTTAGACGACCCGACATAGGCAAATGGGAGGAAAAATGTAAGTTTTGTCCCCTGTTTTATTTCCCTGGGTCTTTTCAAAGTGAAATTATTTGAATGATTTGATTATACAAAAGAACCAAAAAATTCTAAAGTGAATTTATTAGGTATATTTTAGTCATTTGTGTCGCCCAAACTAAAGTTCGACCTTGGTTAACGGTTTTTGGATGAAAATTTTAACAAAATGGCATGTTTGATCATTTTTACAAAGTACAGGGGGCATGTTTGATGTAAAAAATAGTAGAGGGGCATGTTTGATAAAACGTCATAATAGAGGGGCATATTATACCTATAACCCAACAAATTAACAACAACTTAAATACCGTACCGGAAGTTGTACCGGAAAAATCAGCGATAAAGTATTTTATGCTAAAGTTTAAAATTGTGGTTTTAAACATGATTCAATCGTATTATACCGCTAAATACCGCCTACCGATTTTACTTTCGGTAGGAGGTTTTTCTGGTCGAACCGTCGTTACGGTACGGTTTTTTAATCCTTGCAAATTAGTAAAGCTTACTCTTAACTACACTATAACCTCTACAAATTAATATAGTCGGGACTTGTAAAAATTATTAATTTATAATAGTTATTAATTAATCGATAAATTAATAATTATTAATTTAAAGAGGTTCTTCTTATGAATTATGATGTAAGTTCATCGTATCTTCCAAACATTTCAAGTTCATACGATAACTTATTGCATTCTACGTATTCATTGTACTAAAATACAATAGAAGGAAATCATGTATTCTTCCAAGATAAATGTATTCGTTTGAGAATGAAAGAGACCACGATTCAACACCTTTGGAACCGATCACGCGAAAGGAAGGGTAAACATGACTTTTTCATTCAAAATGTAAGTTTCTCTTATCATTCTTCAGATTACAATCACAACCATAAATCACAACATTAAAATATACATATTTAAACAATACATCAATTTATAAGACAAGCATTTAACAATCGTAAATACCAAACCAACGAAAGTCAAAGGAGAGTTTCTAGCCAAAAAAAAAAGTCAAAGGAGAGTAGAATATCCATTTTGATCAATCGGAGGAAGTAAAGTTAAGAGTAGTGCAAGGAAGTGGTTAAGTAACATATATGGGTCTCTCCAAACAACTCGAGTTATTGAAACTAACTGGTTCATAACATGGTATCAGAGCATTTCAAGCTTATGAGTTGGCTTTTGTTTGAAGAGGTGTGTAAGAAAGTGGTTAAGTACCATACATGAGCATCTCCCAACAACTCGAGTTATGGAGACTGGCCTCAAAAAAATGTCAATGGCAGCCTCATTTGAAAATGATGCCTCACAGTCAGAATAATTCAAGCTCCCCCCTTTTATAATCTTCAGAAACATCCTCCAAACCAAGGTTGTCAAACCGGTTTATGCCAGTGTGCCGGTTTAGCAAGTGAAATGGTTCGACCGGTGGCACATACCGGTTTGTGCCGGTTCATGCCGGTCAATATTACAAATAAAATTATAAATACTCATATTTAAACATGACATTTAACGTCAATACTTAAACATTTATACTTGAATCCAACAAATAACATCAATATTTAACTTTTATACTCATAAAATAAATAATAAAATTATTTTTATCAATTAAACTCGCTAAAATAAGGTCATTTTACTTAGAAATTCGTATATCGATCATGCCGGTCATACCGGTAGTGTCACGCCGGTTTTATGACTGGTATCGGTTGAACCAGGTTCAACCGGTGGCACGCCAGCCGGCGTGACAACCATGCTCCAAACCCACAAGCTGTAAATCATCACCTTAATATCCCAAAGAACCAGGAAATCCCTCCACCCCTAAACCCAAACGCCCCAAAAAATGGACCTCATCGAGCACAAGTTCGTCGAGACCAACGGCGGATTGAAGCTCCACGTCGCCCAAATCGGCACAGGAGACAAAGTGGTCCTCCTGCTCCACGGCTTCCCGGAGATATGGTACTCGTGGCGGCACCAGATGCTCGCCCTCGCCGGAGCGGGTTACCGGGCCATCGCGCCCGACTACAGAGGGTACGGGTTATCCGACCCGCCCCCGAAACCCGACGAGGCCACGTTCATCGACTTCGCCGCCGACGTGGCGGCCGTCCTCGATTCCCTCCAGATCCCGAAGGCGGCGGTCGTCGCCAAGGACTTCGGCGTCTACGTCGCCTCGAGATTCGCGTTGCTGTACCCGGAAAGATTGCAGGGGATGGTGACGCTCGGGATCCCGTTCACTCCCCCCGGTCCCGGCGCGTCGGCTATACTCGCCCTCCTCCACGAAGGCTTCTACGCGCGCCGATGGATGGTAACGGCGTCGTTTTATCTAACTTAGTGATGGTCGTCGTTGACTGGCTTGTGCTGACCTTTTTTTTTTTTCAGGAGCCGGGGAGAGCTGAAGCTGATTTCGGACGGTTTGATGCGAAGACGGTGGTGAGGAAGATCTACGTCCTCTTCGCCGGAACGGAGCTGCCGACGGCCGCCGTCGATCAGGAGATCATGGATTTGGTGGGGGCGTCGCCGGATCTTCCGGCTTGGTTGACGGAGGAAGATCTTTCGACTTACGGCGATTTGTACCAGAAATCTGGGTTCCAAACTGCGCTGAAGGTTCCCTACAGGTACAGCAAATTGACTAAGTTGAACTGATTGAAGTTAAAACTAAGTTACTAATAAGAACTATCCACGAATTGTGTGTTTGATAGGTCGATAGAGGAATCGGCCGACGTGACAGATCTAACCGTGAGAGTTCCGGCGATGTTGATCTTGGGGGATAAAGATTACGTGAGAAAGTCTCCAGGATTTGAAGATTACGCGAATTTTGGGGTGAAACATTTCGTGCCCGATTTGGAGATAGTGCATTTGAGTGAAGGTAGTCATTTTGTTCAGGAGCAACTTCCTGAACAAGTGAACGAGCTGATACTAGGGTTCCTCGGAGCTCGAATTTGGTCTTGATTTGAGTTTTCTTTTGGACGATTTGGTTTCGTTAATGATAGTGCATCTTGATGTCATGAAATCTCTTGTGTTGTACACTTTTTTCTTCTTCTTTTGATGTCTCTTTGTAACAAGAACTGTTTGTTCATACAACTACAAAGCCACATTTATCAGTTCCTGAATGTCTGACGGATGTAGAGGGTTTAGTTACTTAGCCAGAGAGGGAATACAAGAAATTTTCTGGTTTTTTATAGTTGCAGCAATTTCGCAGCTTTCTAATAGGAAAAGGAGAGTACAACAAACATGGTATTGAACTGCCTTTCCCGCGATCACAAGCCGTTGATGTTACTATTTCAGCTTCTTGGTGAAGTCGGAGAGGTGGAGAAGGTGAATCCGAGGAATGCTTTCTGCTTCCTCTCGCTCTTTCTGCGTGTTGTATCCCCAGTTACCTGTCCAGACCATCCATTAACACCCCTTCTGGAAATTGCAAGCTCACATAAATGGAAGGGAATCAAACAGCTGGGAAGAATGCTGGAAAAGAGAGAAAGTCTGGTACCTAAGTACAAGTTCCATCCATCTAATTCTGGCTCTTTGATCACGTTCTTGAGGGTTGCAAGCCGATCTTCCACGAAACTGGCGAAGATCAAGTAGTAGAAGTTAATACGAGAGAAGCTTGTTTGCTTATATTGCAGCTGAAAACAACGAGAGGGAAACTTACTGCAGCTTCAACCCCTGGTGTTCTGGTCTCTTCTGAAGTTGCTTCAACACTTCCACTTTAGGTCTGAAATTAGAGATAAACGCCAAGAGCAATAGAGAGCTTAGAACTAAAGCCATTTCCCCTAGAACCACCAAATTAGGATACACATAGACTGACCCAGTTCCCAAACCATATATTCTTTCAAATGGAATTGTTACACCTGCCAGCTCTCTCAGTAAAGCATCTGCAAATCGACCCTAAGACAGAGACGAGACGAGATTAAAGAGAGGGAGGGAGCTACTTGCGTTGGCATACAGATGAACTAAATCGATTCGCAGGGTTGTACCTGTTTGGTGGTGACTATATACATTGTTGAGCTAGCAAATTTCAGGGCTTCTGGAACACCTGGATAGAATCTGCAATAGAATCAGTTTCCCATTCAAAACCTACAGAGCCAATTTCAAGTTCTGTAGACACAGTTCAGGGAAAGCAAGATCGTATACCAAACAACAGCACAAGGACTCAACTTCACAACTAAATTCCATTCGATCATGCATGCTCGTACGAAATAAAGAGTCGAAAGCACAATCCAAGTTATCTACTCTGTGTACCTGTTTGCTCCAATCCAAGTTTTCAAGTCCTGTTCCATCCACTCATCCCTGACTTTGCCAAAGAACTCAACTAGATCGTCTCTATCCATCTCTCCCCATTCTTCCATGACGACAGGTTTGATCTTCGACCAACTTTCCAGGATTGCATCCACTGTGAGTCCCTCAGCAACCTTTCAAATTGAACCCACAACATCAGACAGCTCTGCCAATGAGATTATATGAACATTGATTCTATGCATCTTGTAATTGACCAGGAATTTTCATTCTGGCGAAAGATATGCTTACCGAGGATGTCCTAATTGAAGGTACTTTCATCTCCAGCAACAACCTCACAAGCAACAAATTCTCATACCCAGTTTCCACAACAGGCCGCACCTGACAACAGCACAACAAATCATGAATCAGCCTTGCCGGCGGCGATCATTCTTCCCAATCAGTTAGTCAAGTGACAAAGGCGGCTTACAGTGTACATCTGAGCAATGATCCAGTCCTCAGTGGTTGAATCCACGCCTCTAAACAGATCCGGCCATCTCAATTTGGCGGCCTATGAGGAAGAAGACCAAACAAACACACTGAAGGTTTCAATTTGATGCTTACGAGTTCCCGGAGTTCTCTCTGCGACCAAGCGAAGGGAAAAGAGGAGGAGACAGACCTTGACGGCGGAGAGCGAGCTTTCCCCGCAGCTGTCGCATAGAACTCCATCGAAGTCCAAGGCGTAGAGATCTCCCATTCTCTTTCTTGCTTCTTCTCTTCTCTGCTTCTTCTCCTCGATTTTGAAGATAGGACGATTTGTCGCTGCCGATTACCCGCCACTCGCCAGCTCTATATAAGTTTTGTCTTATATCGTCTAAAGAAACTCCCTTTTTTTTATGTCAACGCCATAAAAAAGCTTCCCCATTGAGTGCATCACCGCGATTCCACACTCTGCTCTCAATTTCTCCGTCGTAGACCAGATCCGGAATCTCAATCGCTGCCATTCTCCGGCGGCCATTTGCCTCCAAGCTTGCAGCTTTCCGAACGGTCGAGACGGACAGCTCCTTCCGCAATTCTGATCCGTCTTCGTCTCTTTTTTCAATCCGGTAATTACGCTGCCTTGTTTTTTGCTGAATGATCGCGCCATCTTGAACCTGACATATCTGCTTCTAAATCATACTCTTGCATTTCAAGCTTGGAGCCCCATTCTGGCATGGTGGGTCGTATCTAATTTTATGGGTCTTCTTAGATTTTTTCGTTGCTGATGAACCGTGCTTGGAAAATCAACTAGACTTTAGGAGAGGAACGAACCTAGATTTGAAGCTCAAGAACAAGTTTATGAATTTGTTGTCCCATCTTCCCCGAATTGTTATGGGCATTTTGTTAAATCATTCATGAATCAGTATTGATTCTGAACTGATTCAAATGGGTTGGCAATATGACTTAAGTTGCTTGCAGATGGGAGAAATCGAGCAGAAGAGGAAAACAGTGTTTGTGACAGTAGGAACAACGTTATTTGACGCTCTTGTCAAAGCTGTTGATACTGAACAAGTTAAACACGAGTTGCTGCGAAGAGGCTACACCCACCTTCTCATTCAAATTGGTCGTGGATCCTACATTCCCCACAAGGTAAAAGAACAAAACTTTGTCCCTCCTTTTTCTCTTGGTTCACGCAGTGCTTCCCATTCTTGCTCTTCGTTTGAGTTCATTGACGCATAAGCTATGAGCTTTTCTGTGGTAATTGGAGCTTGGTATTTGTTCTCTCTCACGAGTATGTTCTTGTTCTGCTGCAGTGTGAAGGGGAAGGTGGATCTCTTGTGGTTGATTATTTCACTTTCTCATCAAGCATTGCAGAACATCTTAGATCGGCATCTCTTGTCATCAGTCATGCAGGTAAACGAATCTACAGTCTATTATCTTCCTGTTTATATTAACATCAGTGAATCTAGATACTGACTACTGAACTTTGGAAGCAAAGTTGCAGATATATATCGCTGGAGAAATGAGACAATTATGATTATGAGATATTGAAATGTCTAGTCCTATAGTCGAAAGGAAGTATATAATTTTGTAGAACATGACTCCAACAATTTCCATAAACCATCTGCCTGAATACGGGCATTCGGATTTGTATGCTGACAGGATCCCTGGTTGACGATGAAAGTTGTGTTCATTCTTGCAGGGTCAGGGAGCATATTCGAGACTTTACGGCATGGCAAACCTCTCATTGTAGTGGTGAATGAAGACCTGATGGATAATCATCAATCTGAACTTGCAGAAGAACTAGCCGAGAGGAAGCATTTATACTGCGCGCGTCCTCAACTGTTGCACGAGACGATCACGGATATGAATTTGGAGTCTCTCCTTCCGTATCCTGCTGGAGATGCCAAGCCTGTGATTAGTTTGATTAACAGATTTCTAGGTTTCCCAGATGATTGATGAGCCTGTGTAATTTTGTGCTACGAACAGAATTCTATACCTTTATCCAAGTGCATAACAACAACATTCAGTTGGATTTGACTCTCTGTACATTTTCCTCGTACCTAGAGTGGAATTGGGAACTGCAAGAGATATGGATTTAGAGTTGGTCATTCGTTGGGTCGGTTAGCTATGGTTAGTCGGGTAAACGTGGTTGACCGCCTCCGGTTACTCAGCTAACCGAAGCATCCCTCTCCCTTTTGAAAACTGACCGTCCCTGGTTTTTTTCCGATTTTCGGTTAATCGGTAACCGACGATTTTCGATTAAAACCGCCAGTTACCTGCTAACAGAAAATCGGTTAGCGGTTAGAGCTATTTGCGATTTTGGGCTAGACTGGAAATTGATTGGGCCATCTTTTCGTGGTTAGCATTGCGGTTAGAGCTATTTGCGGTTTCGGTTGCGGTTAAACCGCAAACCGCAAAACAGCCAATAACCGCGAATCATTAGTGTATTGGGCTGTTTTTGTGGTTTGCGATTAACCAATAACCGCGCGTTCGATGCGGTTTCGCGGTTAACCGTTTTCCCAGCCCGTGATAAGGAGAAAGTCGTGCCAATCATTAGTGTATTGGGCTTAAATAGATTGGGCCTGACGAATGTGGATTTTATGCTTGTGTCTTGGATCTCGATACCCATTATTTATCCCACCATTATGGAAAAAAAGCCCAATTGTTCTACAAAAAAAAGCCCAATTGTTCTACCAAAAAAAAAGCCCAATTGCTTGCACACGTCAGACTTTTTCTTATAATAGTCACCCGCGTTGAACGAGTCAAAACTTAACCGCGTAAAATTTTAGACAAATTGGGGGAACCGACTCCGGCGTATATTTTACGCTAACCGCCTCTTTCCAACGGTAATAATTTGCCGACCGACTCGCCGTGATAGCACCTCTATAAATTACTTAGAATAGTTTCCCGGCATTTTTCTCTATGACAGAGACGAGAAGCGTCCCGAGCCTAAGGTTTCGCCGTTCCTGTAGAGTTAGGGTTCTGGTTGCCGCGATGTCGCCATCTGTCTATTGTTGTTGGCTTTGTTAGGGTTCGGTGATGGGGGTGACGCTTCCCTCTCTCTGTCTGTGACGCCGGTGCGATGGATGTCACCGGCGAACGATCCTTCCTGGATGTCCGAGGTTTTCCGGTGGTTAATTGGTAAAGGTTTTATCATCTTGTCCCTTACGCCTCCCCTTCTTTGTTTATTTTGCTTGCGTTTCGTGGGTTTAGTTTCTAAACCTTTCCTTCTTGGTCGAAGGGCTAGTTCCCTTATTTGTCCTGTGATGTCTGTTGAACTTGATGAAATAGGCTCAGTGGGTTGAAAAGGGTCATAATCGTTCTCACTTTGTTGATTCATGAGGGTAACTTTTGCCAGTTCTTTGATGCAAAATATTGGCTGCTATGTTTTTGTCCCCGAATTCCAAGTTTTGGGTGATCGAACTTGGTTCCAGAATCACAAGTTGGTTTGTTGCCCATGAGCAATGCCAATATTAGCCGGGCCTAGGATCGAACAGTGATGTTGTCTTGTTAGTTCTCTGATTTTGGTCTTTTTATTTGCCAAAAATTGCTCTTTATAGCTTATCGGTTGACTGAAAGTCCATTAAGCAAGCACTTGAAAGGGAGTTACAGAGGAGAACCATGTACTGAGTTGCAATTATTTGCCTCTATTAACATCTGATTAGCTGCCTGAACTGGTCGCTCTTCTGCATCTATTAACAGACTGGGTTGTAATTATCTGATTAGCTGCCTAAACACCGGCTGTGGCGATTCTATAAACTGAAAATTACAAGGTCCTTGATGGGAATTATACCTAGTCATGGTTGCCCTTTTGTCTCGAGTAAAATCAGTCCCGGTGGTTCTCTTGATTGTAAATTACAAGGTCCTAGATTGGAATTATGCATAGTCATGGTTGCCCATCTGCCTTGTGTAAAGATTATTGTGGGGATTTCCAAAGTGCATTACAGTGTCCTAGAAGGGAATCATGCTCATTCATGGTTGCCCTTCTGCACTGAGTAAAGATTGGTTGTGGCGGTTCTCCGAACTGAAAAGTACATAGTCATGGTTGGCCATCTGCCTTGTGTAAAAATTATTGTGGGGATTCTCAAAGTGCATTACAATGTCCTAGAAGGGAATCATGCTCAGTCATGGTTGCCCTTCTGCATTGAGTAAAGATTGGTTGTGGCGGTTCTCCGAACTAAAAAGTACAAGGTCGAAGAAGGGAATTATGCATAGTCATGGTTGCCCTTCTGCCTTGAGTGAGATTGCTTATAGCGACTTTCGAAGTGAATTACAATGTCCTAGAAGGGAATGTGCTTATTCATAGTTGCCCTTCTGCATTGACTAAAGATTGGTTGTTGGCGGTTCTCTAAATTGAAAATGACAAGGTCCTGGTTGGGATCATGCGTAGGGAGGAGTTTCATTTTTCTGATAACATGCATTATACTATAGATTCTGATAATGGTTGGATTTAGACGGTATAAACTTGCGAGCTTGCTGGATAGAGATTTTGATGCTGGTGTTGTGTGGGGTTCTGCTCACTTGTCTTTTGCAATGGTGTCTATTAACCTTTGTTTCATGTTAGTACATCGTATCAGATAATCATAGTCTCAATTCTGTCTGTTTAGTTTAATCATCATAAACTATTGCGGCCATCCTGATTCAGTTGGAAGTTTGGAAGGAAACTTATTCTGGTATGAAATCTGTTGCCAAATCTGCAAAGTACATATGGGTTTACTGTGTCACTTGTATCGGTTGTGAAAGGCAAGGGCATCGGGTTGGTATAGTTCAATTTTATATGGTTAATAGGCTGCTTCCTAGTCTTGCAGGATATGATTTTGACCTGAGTTATCTATATTGATCTTGATAATGGGAGCAGCCATTTTCCTAGATGTGAATGGAGATGGAGATTGGTTTATGAGTATTTATCATGGTACTGTGAATGTAAGATACATCTGTTGATATATGGTTAGATCATTATGGTCACGGTAGCAGGTTTTGATTCTGCTTTAACGTCGCAGACTTTGTCATAGTCCCTTGATGTGATCTTTTCCTCTTATCATTATGCTTTTCCTCGAGCCTCTTGATACTTTTTTGATCTTACAGCTCAAGTTACCTGAAAAGGAATGTAACTTGTGTAAAGCTATAGATTACATAAATAAGAAACAGACGTGGTTCTTGTATCATTAGGGGGTTTGTTTCTCTTCTCCACTTTCCTGTTAGGTCTAGTTTTGGATGGATTTTTCCTTTCCAATCTCCAAGCGCAGGAGTACTATGCCAATCAATAAAGAAATGGACTGCTAGAATGAAATCATTAGCCTGAATATCTGCCTGCTTTAATCTTAGTTCGAGTCTATTTACTTTTATGTAATTATGAAAGACAGATGCCTTTCGAAGTTGTGTTGGTATTATAATGCTGACATAGTCTTCGCATGTTTCTAATATAGGACTGACGCTTTCAATGTCTGATCTTGATTTGGTGTTTGTAACCTGAGTTCTCTACATTGATCTTGATTTTGCTTGTAACCTGTCCACAACTACATTGATCTTGGTAATGGGAGCAGCCATTTTAGGTTGCTAGATGCGAAAAGAGCTGGGCATTGGTTTCTGAATATTCATCATTGGTATTATGATCGTATGAGGCATCCATTGGTATTATTTGATCTGTTATGGTCACAGTAGCAGGTTCTAATTCTCTGCCTAGACGTCATAGACTTGCTTTCCATGGTGCCCTTTCTGGATGTGTTGATTTGCTTCCATTGAGAAGCATTCTGGAACTCGATCATGTTTTAATCTTAGTTGACATACCTTTGATTGCAGGAGTAGTTTTGAAAGAAACCTCTACATTGCTTTACCTTGAGCATGGTCTTAAAAATCTAGCTTGTGTAAGATTTATGAACATGCTGATTTGTTGCATTTGAGACAAGTATAGGAACCTAATTGCGACGGGAAGTCTTATTTGACTGATAATGAAAATAAGAGAGTGAAATAATCCGCGACTTTGAGCTACATGGGCGTGGAAAAGAGGGTGGATGGGTCTACATGATCTAACTATTGTGGTTGGGTGGTTATCATGAATAATTTCTATATATTATCCTTGCCCCTTAGCCTCTTGATTTTCTATAAGCATTGAGGGACTGGGAGAAGCTGGTGCATTCAGCATGAGCTTCTACAGTTATGCTCTGCTTATCTTCTTTGTGGTTGGATTAAATAACAGCAACACTTATCTTCTTTGTCATGGCTTCTTGATTGCTGTATTTATCTTCTTACGAAAAGGGTTTTTTTTTTTACCTTTGGAACTGTAGACAAGGTCCTAGAAAGCCAAATTTGGCAGTAGTTATTTATGAATCTTCTGTTATGTCGGATTCTTAGAGTGGTACTTGTAAGAGTAATGGTTCAGTCGCTGTGGATGAATCGATATGATTACAGTAGCTGGTTCTGATTCTGCCTCAATATCTTGGATCCTTGCTTCCTGTGGTTGGCAGTCTATGTCTGAATGGTTTGTTGTTGTTCAGAAAGGTTTTCGAATTCAGTCATGCTTATTCTTAGTTCTCTGATCACAGATCAGGGTGAGGGGTTTTCAGAGCAAGAGTTGGAAATAGACTCATATGATCAGGAAATTAGGGGGGATTTGGTTGGGAAATACAGTTTTTTTGTGTTTGTGATTGCCTCTGCATATGTGTGGCGTCTATTATAAAACTAACTAGTTGGTACTGTCTGTTGGCATTAAGGGAGCCAGGTTACAGACAGTGATGCAAATGAGTTTTTATGTGTTTATGCATTGTTTTCACGTTGACGCATGGCGGAGAGGTGGCATAAGAATAAGCACCTTAAATGTGTGTATTATTAAACTAACTAGTTGCTGCTGTTTGTTGGCATTATGGGAGCCAGGTTACAGACCACTGAGCTTGAAGGAAATAGTGATGCAAATGAGTTTGTATGTGTTAATGCATTGTTTTTTAACGTTGACGCATGGCGGAGAGGTGGCATAAGAATAAGCACCTTAATGCAAAGAAGGCTGCATCTTTCTCTGTTCAATTCTTTGTTGCTGTGGAATTCAGTGGGGGGAAGTAAATGGGTAATTAGCTAGTCCTTTGTGATTATGTACTTGCTGCTATCTATATTTAGATCTAGATCGGTTCACTTAGACATTTTGTGTCTTATTACATTTGTATGGAGCAATGGAGAATCAAAACATAGCAGCATGAAGCCCGTGTGACTCAATGGGCAGTCGAGGGTCTTAGTGTTGAGAATTTGCTACCAGCTTTTGCATTGTTAGTTATTGAGCTTGATTCCCAGAATTCTATTTCCTGAGAGGATATTTTGTTGATCTGTTGAGAAGTCGTGTTGGCTGGAAGGTTTCCTTCCTGGGTGGATGCCATCCAGCATGGGTTTCATTGGTTCTGCCATTCCACCAGGTATGGCTTCAAACAAGTCAGGTTATTATTGCCTTCCAGGCTAGTCTGTGTTGAAATTATAGGAGGGGCGGGTGTTGCTTCCGTCATTTTGGTATTACAGTGCTACTAACACTGTTGCCCATTGATTCTTGTTTACTATTTATGATGGACTGAAATTCCAAAACCTGAGACCTGTCTCTGCTTCGTTAGGAATTATGACTATTCATATGTTGGGATTTTTCCCAAGCTGCTATGCTGTAGGATGGTTGCTTTCAATGCTTATCCCTCTTTGGAAGTTGGGCTCTACCTTATACTTCACAGGTTATTGTCTTAGGATCTCATATCCCTCTGCAACACCTACAGGTGACAGCAGTTGGAAAGGTAGTCCTCCTGGTCTCCATCAGGTTCTTGCACTATATCGGATGCCAATCTCCTGACCCCCATCGATAGTCTGTTTTGGCAATTCTCTTTAAACTGTTCTAATGGGCTCTAGAAAGAAGCTTTGCTTATCTTCTGTCTCATTAATTAGATTGCTTTGAGATTTCAATGGTGTTTGGAAGTAGAGTTGGATTTTATCTTTTTTGGCACATATGGCAGCTATTCTCCAATTTTATGCAGCGCATGGTGATGGTGCTCCGCTGGAATATAGGGGTTGTTTCTCCATTTTCCAGTTGGGTCTAGTTTTTTATGGATCTTCCTCTCCAAGTTCCAAACGCTAGAGTAGTATGCAACCAATGAGCAATATGGAGTGCTAGAAGCAAATCATTTAGCCTTAACACCCACATGTTTTAATCTTACTTCGAGTCATATGCTTTATCCTCCTGCCTGTAAGTTGGACATCCATTGGGTACTCCCAGCTCTATTTGCTTCTATGTAATTCTGAAACACAGATGCCCTTTCAAAGTTATGTTGGTGGGACGGATGGATGCTTTCGATATATGATCTTGGTCTGGTGTCCATAATCCGAATTTAGCTACATTGGTCTTGATAATAGGAGCAGCCATTTTAGGTTGCTAGATGCGAATGGAGCTGGAGATTGGTTTTTGAATGTTCATCACGGTATTATGACCGTGAGAGGCATTTGTTGGTATTGTTAGATCCATTATGGTCAAGGTAGCAGGTTCTGATTCTGCCTAGAAGTTGAAGACATGCTTCCCTTGGTGCCCTTTCTGGGTTAGTTGGTTTTCTTTCATTGAGAAGCATTGTGGAACATGATTATGTATTAATCTTACCTCCCAGATCATTGATGGACAAGAGTAGTTTGGAAAGCAATCTCATTGAAGAAAGAATAACACCTTAACTCGTTCATTCCCCCATGGCAAATGCCTGAAGAAGAGAAAGCAGACACCCAATGTGGGAATGTCGAGCAGCTGCGGTTATGGGGTACGAGGTACTGGCTTTTGAGAGCCTGTTATGGAGAATCTCCAGAGGCTCTATGATGGATTTGGTTTAATAGAGTTGGGGGAGTTGGTTACTGTCTTTGAAGCTGCTGCTTCGGATCGTGTTGGGATTCTCACTTTCTATAAGGTTATGTCGTCATCTTGCTTAGTTATACTTTGTTGTTGTGCTGATTGATTGACTTATTAGACGAGTTGAACATTCCGTGCAGTTGTAAGGAGTAAGGAGTGGTGTTTAGAAAAGGGCAGTTTAGCGAAATATGTATGCTGACAAGTTTGGAATCCTTGGGTTACAAGGAATAGATTGAGATGAACAGAAATAAGAACACTAGCTCAATCAGAGTGCAATTAAGTTGGGTTTTTTTGTTGTTGTGTATATTGATAAGAAGTGTGTGGATGAACTGTCCATTTTTCTGCACAAATTTGGGTAGATGGGCACTGGGGTTTGCATGTAGATGGGTCGAGACAGCTTCATTTGTCTCCATCCCGCGGCCAGCCTCCAAGCTTGCAGCTTTCCAAAAGGTCGAGACTGATAGCTCCTTGCGCCATTCTTATCCGTCTTTGTCACTTTTTCAATCTGGTAATCTCGCTGCCTTGTTTTTTTTTTTTTGCTGAACGACCGAGCCATATTCACCTAAATAATAATCTTTGCATTTCTAGCTTGGAGCCCCATTCTGGCATGGTGGATCGTATCTAATTTTTGGGTCTTCTTCGATTTTGTCGTTGCTGATGAACCGTGCTTGGAAAAATCAACTAGACTTGGGATAGGAACGAACGTAGATTTGAAGCTTAAGAACAAGTTTATGATTTTGGTGTCCCCCATCTTCCCGAATTGTGTGGTGGGGATCTTGTTAATCATTCATGAATCAGTATTTATACTGAATTGATTCAAATGGGTTCTCAATGTGACTTGAGTTGTAGATGCGAGAAATCAAGCAGAAACGTAAAACAGTGTTTATGACAGTAGGAACAACGTTATTTGACGCTCTTGATACTGAACAAGTTAAACATGAGTTGCTGCGAAGAGGATACACCCACCTTCTCATTCAAATTGGTCGAGGGTCCTACATTCCCCACAAGGTAAAAGAACATAACTGTATCCCTCCTCCTCTCTTGGTTCAGGCAGTGCTTCCCGTTTTGCTTTTCGTTTTAGTTCATCGAAGTTTGATGCATAAGCTACGGGCTTTTCTCTGCAAATTGGAGCTTGATATCCATTCTGTCTCACGAGTATGTTCTTGTTCTGTTGCAGTGTGAAGGGGAAGGTGGATCTCTTGTGGTTGATTATTTCACTTTCTCATCAAGCATTGCAGAACATCTTAGATCGGCATCTCTTGTCATCAATCATGCAGGTAAACGAATCTCTTGATTATCTTCCTGTTTATATTAAGAAAAGAATTAACATCAGTGAATCTAGATACTCACTACTGAACTTAGGAAGCAATGTTGCCGATATATATCTCTGGAGAAATGAGACAATTATGATTATCACACGTCTAGTCCTATAGTCGAAGAAGTATACAATTATGACTCCAAAATTTTCCATAAACCATCTGCCTGAATACGGGCACTCGGGCTTGTATGCTGACAGGATCCCTGGTTGACGACGAAAGTTCTGTTCATTCTAGGCACTCCAGAGAGTAGTATCACATAGTGCTCTGTACATAATGCAGGGTCAGGGAGCATATTCGAGACTTTACGGCTTGGCAAACCTCTCATTGTAGTGGTGAATGAAGACCTGATGGATAATCATCAATCTGAACTTGCGGAAGAACTAGCTGAGAGGAAGCATTTATACTGCGCACGTCCTCAACTGTTGCACGAGACGATCACGAATATGAATTTGGAGTCTCTCCTTCCGTATCCTGCTGGAGATGCCAAGCCTGTGATTACTTTAATTAACAGATTTCTAGGTTTCCCAGATGATTGATCAGCATGTAGGACTTACTGTTACAAGCAGAATTCTATACCTTATCCAAGTGCATAACAACAACATTAGTTGGATTTGGTTCTGTACATTTTCCTCGTACCTGACATGGATCGTTGGGTGGAATTGGGACAGTAATTGCTAGATTTAGTGAAAACTGATTATTGCATAAAACGGTAGTTGTTCTCAATACACTGTACAGCCTTTATATGTTCTCCAAATTACTACCTAGTACCTATACAAACTACATATTACAATAACTACCCTGAAAACAACAAAATTACATTTTGTATCTATTCTATACTCTATCACCCCCCCTCAAGCTGGAGCATGTATATCACACATGCCCAGCTTGCCTATCAACTCTACAAACCTATGTATCGGTAGTGATTTGGTTAGAACATCGGCAAGTTGGCTGTCAGTGGAGATGTAGAACAACTTGATGAGTCGAGCTGCTACTTTCTCTCGGATGAGATGGCAGTCTATCTCGATGTGTTTTGTGCGTTCGTGAGCCACTGGATTCTCTGCAATTCTTATGGCAGAAGTGTTATCACAATACAAAGCAAAAGGTTCTGTAAATTTGACATTAAGATCAGTAAACAGATAGTGTAGCCACTGCAATTCACAAGACAACTCAGCCATTGCTCGATATTCTGCTTCTGCAGAAGATCGACTAATGGTTGTTTGTTTCTTGGAACGCCAGCTAATCAAAGATTTGCCAAGAAAAACACAAAAACCAGTTGTGGACCTGCGAGTATCAGGGCAGCCAGCCCAATCTGAGTCGGAAAACGCAGACAAACTTACAGCAGAATCAGATGGAAAGAACAATCCTTTTCCAGGATTGTTTCGAATAAACCTAACTAATCTAGTTGCAGCATTCATATGCAAATCAGTAGGATTAGCTACAAATTGAGTGAGATGGTGCACAGCATACTGAATATCAGGACGTGTAGTACATAAGTATAATAACCTACCAATTAACCTTCTATAAGGAGAGGGATCAGAAAGTGGTTCACCCGAATTGGCAGATAGTCGAATATTGGGTTCAGAAGGTGAGTCTGCAACTTTTCCAGCAAGCAACCCAACATCTGCAATAATATCTAAAGCAAACTTCCTCTGACACAGAGTTAGCCCTTTGGAAGTTCTAGCAATTTCTAAGCCAAGGAAATATCGGAGAGGTCCTAAGTCTTTTATTTTGAAAGTATCATCTAGTTTAGACTTAATGGATTTCATTTCTGACAAATTGTCACCTGTTAAGATCACATCATCAACATATACTAACAAGGCTAAAAATTTGGAATCAGACTGTTTTGTAAACAAGGTGTGATCTGCCTTGGACTGAACAAAACCATTAGCTAATAAAAACTCAGTCAGTTTTGAATTCCACTGTCTACTAGCTTGTTTTAGACCATAAAGTGACTTGATTAAACGACAAACAGGCCTTTTTATATCAGCAGGGGGTGTTAAACCTTGTGGAATTTTCATATATACTTCTTCCACAAGATCCCCATGTAAAAACGCATTATTTACATCCAATTGTTCAATTGCCCAGCCTTTTACAGATGCTAAAGCTAATAAAGCACGAACAGTGGTCATTTTTGCAACAGGGGAAAAAGTTTCTGAGTAATCAATGCCTTTGGTTTGTGTATAACCTTTTGCTACTAAACGAGCCTTAAATCTTTCCACAGACCCATCAGCTTTGTATTTAATCCGATAAACCCACTTGAAACCTATTGCTTTATGAGAAGAGGGTAAAGAAGTTACCTTCCATGTGTTGGTTGCTGCTAAAGCATCAAGCTCAGCTTGCATAGCTGCCACCCAACGTGGATCCTTGATAGCCTCTTCATAACAGGTAGGTTCAACCTCCTTAGTGACATTCATGACGAAACTTTTGTAACCTGCAGCTAATTTGTCATAAGATAGAACTTTGGAAAGAGGGTGAGTAATATTAGAAGATGTAGCCACTGTGGAATGACAAACAAAGTCCTTGAGTCTAGCAGGAGGCTTTGTTTGTCTGTGTGGCCTTCCAGCAGGAGCTGGAGCATTATTATTGGGTATTTGCAAAGGAATATGAACAGGATCAGCAACCTGTAAAATTCCAGAAGAAGGAACAGAAGGAGAAACACTAGAGGAACTAGGTTCAATGAGAAGATCAAAGTTGGGAAGAGTCAATTCAGAATCAGAAGAAGATGATGAATTTTTGTAAGGAAAAATATGCTCATGAAACACAACATCCCTAGACTCAATTTGACGGTTGGTATTTAAGTCAACTAACTTAAAACCTTTTGTGCCAAAAGGATAACCTAAAAAGACACAGGGAGTTGCCCTTGGCTCAAATTTTGGACGATTATGACTAAGAGTACTAGCATATGCTAAGCAGCCAAACACTCTAAGGTAAGCCAAGTCAATAGGAGTGCCCTGAAGTAGTTCTAAGGGAGATTTATTGTGAGTTAGAGGAGAAGGAATACGATTAATAAGATGAGTAGCATGAAGAACAGCATGACCCCAAAACAGAATAGGAAGAGAAGCTTGGAATAGAAGAGCCCTAGCAACAGTTACTATATGCTGCAATTTCCTTTCTACCCTACCATTCTGTTGGGAAGTTTGAACACAAGAAGTTTGATGTATAATACCCTTGGAATTATAGAAACTTGGAATATTAAATTCCTGTGCATTATCTGTTCTTATCATTTTAACTGTCATAGCAAATTGAGTGGATACATAAGAACAGAAATTGATAAGAATATCTCTTGCTTCAGACTTATGTTTAAGAAGATAAACCCAAGATACTCTGGTGTGATCATCCACAATAGCAAAAAAATACCGATGACCATCAATAGTTGGTTCCTTATAAGGCCCCCAAACATCACAGTGAATCAAATCAAAAGGAGATGTACTAACAGAATCACTAGATGCAAAGGGAAGTCGTTTCTGTTTTGCAATTGGACAAACAGAACAATGTATATTGTCATTGACAGTAATAGGAACAGAATTAGCATGCAATCCTTTTATTCTAGGAGTAGAGGCATGTCCCAAGCGATAATGCCACAAGTCAAACATAGAATGGGAAGTGTCATATGATGTGGACAGCAACTGAGGGATAGCAAGACCAGGCAGAGAGTTGCAGGTTGAAGGTAGTAAAGGCCAGAGACCTGTTCAGCTATACCAATCGTCTGCATAGCTGACAGCTCCTGGATAAAGCAACCATTATGAATGAATGTCATAGAACAATTATGATGCATAGTTAATTTGCTTACAGACAGCAAATTAAAAGAGAAGGAAGGAATTAACAGGACATTAGAAATGATTAGATGATCATTTAAATGTACTGTTCCAATATGAGTCACTTTGGCCTTAGAACCATTAGGTAAGGTCACAAATGAATTATGCACAACACGAAAGGATTTAAGCAAAGACAAACAACAAGCCACATGGTCAGTAGCACCAGTGTCTACTACCCATGTTTGTTCAAGAGACCTAGAATCAGCTACAGAAAGAATAATCTTACCTGCAACCTCGTCGTAAACAGTCCGAGAAGCAGAAGAAGTACTCTGGGCAGCAGCTGCATCCTCATAGAGAGCTGAAGTGGAAGGACCAGCTGAGGTGGAAGGACCAGCTGAGTTAGAAACCGCCATCAAGTTGATGGAGCCCAGATTAGTTGCCTGCTGAGACTGCTGAGGCTGAATGAGAGACAAGAACGCCTGATACTGAGCTCGAGAGAGGGTAAAGCTATCACCAGCATCCTCAGAAACATCCTCCGCAATCTCCCCAGCACACACAGCGTTGACAGCCTTGCCACGAGCCTTGTATCCAGGTGGATACCCGTGCTTCTTGAAGCACTTCTCAATCGTGTGACCAGCCAGCCCACAGAAAGTGCAAATCGGCCTCTTAGCACCTTCTCTGGATCCTCGACGACCTTGACCAGAGGAAGAAGCAACCTGAGTAAAACCTCCTTGAGCAGAAGAAGGAGCAGCAAACGCCATGGGAGGCTGAGCAGAAGGAACCAGAGACGCTCCATGACGAGCCTCGCGCTCTTGTTGGACAACTTGAGCAAACACACGATTGATCGGCGGAAGAGGATCTTGCTGCAGAATCTGCGATCGGAGCGGTCCAAACGCATCACGAAGACCGCGAAGAAACCTAATGATCATATCAGCTTCAACATAACTGCGAAGTCTTGTGAAAGCTCCACAGCGGCAGCGAGGAGTGCAAGAACAGCCAGGCAACGGCCGAAGCGCAAAGAACTCGTCCCAGAGCATCTTGAAACGAGTATAGTACTCCGTGACCGTCAGATTTCCTTGCCTGAATCCATAGATCTCCTCATGCAGATCGGAGATCCGAACCAGATTCGCCTGACCAAAACGCTCCTGAAGATCGAGCCAGACTTCTCGCGCGGAATCAAGCCAGAGAATCGACTGAGCAATCGTCGGCTCCAGAGATCGATAGATCCAGCCCAAGACCATCAGATTCGCACGCTCCCAAGCCGGAAGCAACGGATCGGCATCTCCAGGACGCGGAGCTTCGCCATTGACGAACGCGACTTTGTTCTTCGCGAGCAACGCCATCCTCATCGATCGCGCCCAGGACTGGTAGTTTCCACCATGGAGAAGCGTCGACACAAGCACCAGCGCCGGATTCTCGTTCTGATTGAGAAAGTATGGATGATTTGGATCGAGATTTGCTGGGAGAGGAATCGCCATCGCAACACAGAAAGAAAGAGACGAAAGAAAGCAAGAATGAAACCCTAATTTTGCTCTGATACCATGCTAGATTTAGTGAAAACTGATTATTGCATAAAACGGTAGTTGTTCTCAATACACTGTACAGCCTTTATATGTTCTCCAAATTACTACCTAGTACCTATACAAACTACATATTACAATAACTACCCTGAAAACAACAAAATTACATTTTGTATCTATTCTATACTCTATCAGTAATATATGGATTTAGAGCTTTGACATTCGTTGGCGTTATGGCTTCGCCCAAGTATATGCCCGACCAGCCACCTCTCTGAAAGCTACTTCTGCCTCCCCGGCATCCATGATGCTACTTGTGATGTAAAACAGTAGTGCGGGGGACTATATAGTATCTGGCTTGGATGAGGTTGAACCTAGCTGTTACCTTTAGCAAATCGTCAATCTTGTTGAATAGAAAGAGAACAAATTCACATCGTCGATGGTATAGACTAACTTGGTATGTGCTCCTGATCTGCAGATACTGCATATCTCTAAGTGGTAACATTCTGAACCAGCTTGCAGAAGGAGTTGCAAAACAAGGGAATACTACTCCCGATTGTTACTAGAATATGACAACGCTGTGCTTTCTGCTTCGTCGACCACCAACGAGCTCTCTCTTCCTATTTCTAAAGTACTGGGTGCTAATCAACCCCTTTGGATGATAATCACTGCAAGTTCCTCGTATCCAGTTCAATTTCGTTTAGTGGATGTATTGGATTCTAAAGTGGTTGCCTTTGAAGATAAAGATTCCACGGAAGAAACTAGCCGGAGAGGAAACAGGTTTGTGGTATTGGATCACATAATTTTGTATGCTATACTGGAGCACTGTAATCAACAGGGTCTGTGCAGTGATCGGCTGGATTTGAGGGGAACTTTTGCTGGTCTAGAGAAGCTTGTTGAGGAAGGTACGGAGCACAAGATGTAGCGAAAGATTGTGGTTGAAGTATTGCCAGTATGGGAAGGAGAAGGTGATGTAGGTTCTCTTGCTGCGTTGAAAACCATGGGACACACAGACCTGAAGAATGTGCAGATCAGTCGCTCAAATGGAAGCATTGTTCTTGAGGGTTACCAGGTCAGTCTAAACAGTCGTAAACAGTTCAAGTAGACCAGTAGCTCAGGTGGAAGCATTTTACTTGAGAGTTACCTTCACTGCAAGTTCCGTATCATTAATTTTCGAGATTGTAACCCACCAAGGAATTACCAACACTCTGTTCCCTTGTTGACTTGAAATAAGTGAACAACAAGGCAAAGGTACTAATCAGTAATCACAACTACTGAATCATGGATTGAACTGTACACTTTTCATGCCCAAATTCGAACTTTCAGGAAATCAAGTATCAGCTGGTTCACTTCTTCTGGGAATTGCTCTTGAACGAAATGAGTCCCTTCGACCAAATACGTCGTCTTCAGATCCGGGACGATTTCCTTCAACATATAGTTGATGTAGTCTTCCATCCCTGGAAGTTTCAGTGCATAATCTTTGTCTCCCAAGATCAGCAACGTCGGAACTTCGAATTTCACCTCTGATACTGGTACTTCCAACTGCTCGTCGAGTGATCTATAGGGCATTTTAAGTGCAGTCTGGAATCCAGATTTCTGGTACAGAGCTCCATAAGCTTCGAGGTCTTCCTCGGTGAACCATGGCGGAAGAGGAGTCGAAGGTTCGACCAGATCCATTATCTCCTGATTCTCGGCTGCGATTGGCACTTCACTCCCTGAAAACAGTATGTACACATTCCGAATCACGGTTTTTGCATCTACCCGTCCGAAATCGGCTTCGGCTCGCCCTGGTTCCTGTGTCAGAACCAAAAAAGAAAACGAATTGGGTCAGTTTATTTTGGCCCTGGTAATTTTCTGGTTGCCAATTTGGTGTCTTTACGATACCTGCCACCGTAAAGCATAGAATCCTTCAGGGATGGTTGAGCTGATGAAGGAAGAAGCCGTTCCCGGGACAGAGAGCGGGATGCCCATGGTCACTATTCCCAGTACCCTTTTCGGGTGGAGGACTCCGAACCAAGAAGCGATGAAAGCTCCAGTGTCTTTCCCTATGAGCACCACCTGTTCGACGAAATGTCCCAGTGAAAGCATGAGAAGAGGGAAAAAAGATGAAGATAGATGCATTGTTGCAGTGTAGCTATTGACCTTAGAGATGTTGAGGGAATCCAGGACGGCGGCCAGGTCGGCGACGGTTTTGGCGAAAGTGGCGTCTTCAAGCCGCGGCGGGGGATCGGACAACCCGTAGCCTCTGTAGTCGACGGCGACGGCGCGGTACCCTGATTTCGACAGGGAAATCATCTGGTGCCGCCATGAGTACCAGATTTCCGGGAATCCATGGAGAAAGAAGAGAACTTTGTCCCCTGGATGAAAAAACCCAGAAAGAGAATTCACTTTCTGGCATTGGTGGGAAACATAGAAAGACTGGGATGGAGGTTAACATGCAAGTGAACATTTACCAGCTCCGATTTCGGCTACATGGATTTTCAATCCTTCTTCAACTTCCACAAATTTGTGCTCAATCTGCTCCATTTCTGCCCTGTTCTTCTCATCCTGCCTCTGCCTCTCCTCTTTTATACATGGTGGAGCAGGCGGATCTGCAGGTTCTGCTAGCTCGCGTGCCATTGTTAGTTGACATGAATTTGGGTTTCTGTTGGGATGTCTTTCTCATGGAGTCGTCGGTTCCTGTTTCCGTTGACATTGGCGAGTGCAGATGATTGGTAGAAAGGATGGCCTGCTCAATGGGAAATGTCAATGTCTGGGGTTCGACGGATAACTCGATACTACATGTCAGTTCGGATTGTTTAGCTTAACATCGGTTGTGTAGGTCAATTTATCATGTTATATTTAGGCTTACAAAGTGCACCATTAGGCAAAACCAGCAACAGAGAAAAAAGGGTTTACAACAACAAAAGCACCATATGGGAATCCATTTCCTGTGCCGAACATGGCAACGGAACAGCTGTTTATACCCAGCAAAAAGAAGCATCTACTGACGATCACGAGCTGGTGTAATTCCTCTAACTCCGTACATTGCACGAAACATCGAACCTTTCATGGCCAGATTCGAGCTTTAAGGAAATCGAGTATCAGCTGGTTCACTTCTTCAGGGAGTTGCTCCTGAACGAAATGACTCCCTTCAGCCAAACGCACCGTCTTCAAATCCGGAACGATTTCCTTCACCATATTGTTGATGTAGTGCTCGATCCCTGTCATCTTCAGGGTATAATCTTTTCCTCCCACGATGAGTAATGCTGGAACGTTAAGTTTCACCCCTGCAGGCATCGGTACTTCCAGTTGCTCGTCAAGCGATCTGCAGGAGCATAATATTCAATCAGTTTTAGATGTGTGACCAAATCCTTGGAATCATGATGTTTGATAAGCTTCAATCCAAACCTGTAGGGTATCTTGAGGGCAGTTTGGAACCCTGATTTCTGGTACAAAGCTCCATAAGCTTCGAGATCTTCCTCGGTGAACCATGTCGGGAGAGGAGCTGATGGGTCGACCAAATCCATGATCTCTTGATTCTCAGCTGCAATGGGCAGTTCACTGCCGGAGAAGAGAATGTATACATTCCTCACCACCGTTTTCGCATCTAGCCGCCCGAATTCGGCTTCGGCTCGCCCTGGTTCCTGGGGTCAGAACTCAGAAGACGAACCGGGGTTAAATTATAGCTAATTTGGTCCTCACTAACAGAATTCATGGGCGCTAATTTGCTTGCTCACCCGCCACCGCGAGACATAGAAACCTTCCGGGAGCGATGAGATGACGGATGCACGGTTTCCCGGGACGCGGAACGGAGTTCCCATGGTCACGAAGCCCAACACCCTTTCCGGGTGGACAACGTTGAACCATGAAGCGACATAAACTCCGAAGTCTTTCCCTACGAGCACCACCTGTTCGACGAAATGTCTGATTGAGAAGGAGGGACAAACAGCAAAAAATTGCACTAAACCGGACAGCTACAGCGAGTCATAAAACCAAAGAATCGACCTTGGGAACATTGAGGGAGTCCAGGATGGCGACGAGGTCGGCGACGATGTTGGCAAACGTGGCATCTTCAGTCCTCGGCGGGGGATCGGACAGCCCGTAGCCTCTGTAGTCGACGGCGATAGCTCGGTAACCCGATTTGGACAGGGAGATCATCTGGTGGCGCCATGAGTACCATATCTCCGGGAACCCATGGAGAAAGAGAAGAACTTTGTCGCCTGGAAATGGAATTCAACAAATTACCCAGTTATCTCCATTTTTAGAAACTAATTTAAGGAAATTTGATCGGCGATCCGAGTCTGACTTACTTGCTGCTCCGATGTCAGCTACGTGGAGCTTCAATCCTCCGTCGACTTCCACGAATTTGTGCTCGATCTGCTCCATTTCTTTCTTCTGGTTCTATTCTGCTCTTCTCGTTCCTCTGCTTTCTATGTATCTGAAACAGGGGATTGTAAGTGGTTTTAACGCCGACGGCTCTGGTATTTGCTTGTCTTCTTTCTTCTTTTCCGAGCCGGAGAATCTTACGGGTATATTTACAGGCGGGTCAACGACGCCGGGGAGATGTGACAGTCGGGTTTTAAACATATTCACGAAATTCAACACGATTTTGTGTGCTTGCGAAACGTCTGTTTCCATTAAACGGTGTCGTATTAGTAGCGGAGTTGCCAGGCCAATGGGCTTGGGCCCGTGGTTGGTGAAACAATGGGCCCGGTAAAAATTAGAATCTATCAATCAACAATCGCGAGGTCGCTACCTTTCTCCGTCGACCATCGTTCTACTACTCCATCTCCGCCGTTCTAATCTCTGTCGCCGACCGCAGAATCGCGATTCGCCGCAACCGAAGATATTCCTCCGTCAATATTCATCCTCTCTATAACACAAAGTTCCGGTTCGTATTCATTCTATTCAATCGCCACTGCTTCGCCATTCGATAAGGTTAGTTATGATTTTCAAATTGGTTTGGGAGAAAGAAAAGCTGGGGAAATTAGGTTTCCGGTCATAGGCGATTTGTCTTGATTAAGATTTGCCTCATCTCCTTCCTAAACTTCATCGGACGGTCTGATTAGGCTTGTTAATCAATATTCCGGCAGTAATTTGTCCTCCCATGGGTGGGAATTGACTGGATTCGAGTGCTTTCTTTTAGGGTTTGAGTTCATCTTTCGAATTTTGCAGCTGAATCTGGAATACTGTTTAATCTGTATTTTTGCTATTATAGGTAGTATAGCTTTGTGGACTTTGGAGAAGGAGGGCTGATTTATCATGGCAGATTTGGAGAATCTGCTGCTGGAAGCAGCTGGAAGAACTGGCAATGGAGGAGGAAGAAACAGAAACTCTCGGCCATCCTCTAGGAGAAGAGGTGGCGGCGGTGAGGGTTCGTATCCCGACGATGGAAGCGACTCTAGGGACGAAGATTCCGATGATGATGACCGTGGATACCCGAGCAGCAGGAAAAAACCATCCGGATCCCAAGTCCCTCTCAAGAAACGTATGGATGCAGCTGAAAAGGACGACGACGATGATGAACAGAACAGCCAGGAAGAAGAAGAACCAGGTTACGATGACAACCGGAGGAACTCTGATCATGATAGCGACGAGTCGGATGTAGGGTCGGATCTCTACAAAGATGAGGAAGACCGGAGGAAACTCGAGCAGATGTCGGAACTCGACAGGGAAATGATCTTGACGGAACGTGCAGACAAAAAGGGTGACAAGAATCTAACCGAGAGGATCCGTTCCAAACGTGAGAAGGGCAGCACGAAAGATACTCCGCCACCAACTGCTCAAGCATCATCTCGCGGGGTGCGGTCTTCAGCTCGATCGGCTGACAGATCAGCTGCGCAAAATGATGCCTTGAATGAGCTCAAAGCCAAACGACTTCGGCAGCAGGATCCTGAGGCTCACCGGAAGAGACTTCGTGAAGCTTCTTCGTCTGGTGGTCCTACGCCAGCTAAGCGAAAGCCATTCACCTCAGCAACGAGTTTGAGCAGCTCGAGCCAGAGTGACAGCGAGAGTGGGTCGCGCAGTGACAATGAAGAGTCGACCGGGATGGGGGACAGTGATGATGAGAGGGATGGTGCGCCATCATATGAAGACATAAGAGAGATCACCATTCGAAGATCAAAGCTTGCTAAGTGGTTGATGGAGCCGTGGTTCGATGACCTGATCGTGGGTTGCTTTGTACGAGTCGGGATAGGAAAGTCGAGATCCGGACCCATATACCGACTCTGCTTAGTGCGGAACGTCGATGCTGCTGACCCTGATCGTCCATACAAGCTCGAGAACAAGACCACATATAAGTACCTCAATGTCGTATGGGGTAATGAGAGCTCGGCTGCACGTTGGCAGATGGCTATGATTTCAGACTCATTACCAACTGAAGAAGAATACAAGCTGTGGAAGAAGGAAGTTGAAAAGACAAATGGGCGAATGCCAAGCAAGCAAGATATCTTGGAGAAGAAGGAAGCCATCAAGAAGTCAAATTCATACGTTTATTCTGCCGCCACCGTGAAGCAAATGCTGCAGGAGAAGAAGTCCGCATCGACAAGACCTTTGAACGTGGCTGCAGAGAAGGATCGGCTGAGGAGAGAGATGGAGGTGGCGGCGGGTAGGAATGATTTGGCTGAGGTGGAGAGGATCCAGGCTAGGATTCGTGAGCTGGAAGCTTCACGGCTCGCTCAGGAAGTGGACAAGAAGGCCGTGAAGCTGGCCGAGATGAACAGAAAGAACAGGGTGGAGAATTTCAGAAACGCTTCCGAGCTCAAACCGGTTAAATCCGGGTTGAAAGCAGGGGAAGCCGGGTACGACCCATTCTCAAGGCGGTGGACTCGGTCGAGAAACTACTACACCGGTCAGAACGCTGCTGCCGCAGCAGCAGCAAATGAGGCCGCCGCTGCAGAAGCTGGTGGGAGTGGAGTAGCTGCAGCAGGCGTGAAGGGTGAGGCGGTGACAGCAGCAGCTTTAGAAGCAGCGGCAGGCGCTGGCAAGTTGGTAGATACGAGCGCACCGGTCGATCAAGGCACGGTGTCGAATGCTCTGCATGATTTCGAGCTGCCGATATCGTTGGATGCCCTGCATAGGTTCGGGGGTGCCAAGGGTGTCGAGAATGGGTACATGGCGAGGAAGCAGAGGATTGAAGCTACGATTGGTGTTCAGGTCCCCGAGAATGATGGCCGCCGGCATGCTCTGACGCTGACTGTGAGTGACTACAAGCGGCGAAGAGGGCTTCTGTGAATCGTTGTTCGTGGTGAGCAATTTGGTGAGTTTGTGATGGCGTTTTTCATATATGCAGACTACGAAGATTTAGAAGCTCTGTTACGGATTTGTTTGTCGATCTCAGATTAAGAAGAGAATCGTTTTCCCATGGTGTGAGACGTTGAAGCACTGAGCTATTATGATGAATTGTTCTTTTACGTAATCGTAACCACTAACCAGGGAACTGTAATTTTTCACATGTTATGCTGAACTTTTAGATGTTCAAGATAACACCTTTTCTTCATATGGGGAACTCTACAATGCTGGATTAACTCCAATTAACAAGCTTGTAGTCTTATCATTTCTAAGGAAGAACTACGTTTGTACTTCGGGTTGTGGCCATCCTCTTTTTTAAACCTAGAAGTCTTTATGGGATATTTATCGACTAAGGTTGAATATATCCAACTAGGGCTGTTCATTTGGTTTTGGTTTTAACCATGGAAAGCTAATGGTTTCAGTTTTTTGGTTTTAAACCAATAAGCAACTTAATGGTTTTGGTTTGGTTAAAACCGAAAAACCAATAGAAACCATTAAGAAACCAATAAGAATAAAATTATTCATCAACAAATATATTTTTTTTTTGTTTTTTTTGACACGCATGCCAACCAATAATTTGTAATGGCCATTTACCATTATTATGACGTTTATGCAATAAAAAGGAGGGAAATAAGAATAAATATGAGTGTATGAGTACATGTTGGTTTTTTGGTTATCCAAACCAAAACCAAAACCATTAAGGTCCTTATTGGTTTTTGGTTGCCAAAAACCAATAAGGACCTTAATGGTTTGGGTTTTGGTTTTTGGTTTTTGGGATTTGGTTTTTGATTTTTGGTTTTTCATACTTAATGGTTTGGTTAACCAAACCAAACCAAATTGACAGCCCTATATCCAACTCATCGTGTCTATATTATGTTATGAGAAAACATTTTATGTATGATGTCGATTGTAAAACTCCTAAGATCAATTATGTACAAATACATGTCTATCCAGTATATTTTTTTGGACAAAGATGGTGATCGTAAAACTTCAAACGATCAACCATTGATCAAACCTCTACAAGTATAAATCTCTTTTATCCATTTTTCTGGGTGAAAAGTATAATAAAAGATAAAATTCACGAGATCAATGCTTCAAATTCGTATTATAATTTCGCATTGGATGATCATTACTATGTATCAATACGTATTGAATTAGTAAGTCTGATTGTTGTAATCTTACCTCACACATTTCGGGAGTGGAAAATGCTATAAAATAGAGAAATTACCAGAAAAATTAATAAACGACACGATCCGAATTATGGACGAAACCCTTGCATTGACCATGACTTGATCAATATTATCTTCATCTCACTTCATACTAATGCAAGACGGCTTTAATTTCTTAAAGGTCACCTAATGTCACAACTACCCAACCATATATTATTAGATTCCTTGTATTTAATTATTTGTTTACACAAGCGTTAGACGGCAAAAATTAATTCAATACATGCATTCACCAAGCATATTAACATACATATACAGAGTTATTTGGGTTGCTTACCCAAGTACAAAGAGGATTGCTCAATGAAAGACGAAAAGAAAGCACAAAAAACAAAAACAAAAACAAAAAACAGGAGAAGGGGATTAGACCATATTCTTCATGATTCCCATTTCCCAGTTTGAACTTAGACTTCAATCTTCAATAGTGATCCCCTTCTCCTTCTTCTTCTCTAGACAACCCCCTATTTTATAAGCATGGATAAGAACACGAACAACTCAATGGAGTTCGCAGTCGAGATCTTGGTGTCTAGACCGTGAATTGTACGACATGTCTCTTTGTTGAGTTGGAGGGGAGATCGCGGTCTCGGATTGAAGGATTGTGACTCCGCCCGTGACACCTTTTGTGGATCTTTGTATGCTGCCTCTCTGAGATCGCGGTCTAAGGATCTAAGCCCCAAACCGCGATCTTGTGTGTAGGCCACGATCTGATCACGACATGATAACTTCTCGACCATGCATGTAATGGTGCACTTTCACACGATCTAGGAGTTTGCCTCTTTTCTTACACTTAAACTCTTGTTCTTCATCATAATCGTTCTAAACTCAAGGAAGCAATCTAGGCTACTTTGATCGTTCAAACGTCCTTGTAAAACTCAAAATGGCATGAAAACACTTAGTATTATAAAGATAAATAACAACTATTTAAGTATTATCATCCTTCCTCTTTTCATATAGTTTTAAGCTCTAAAACCTATAAATCTTTATTTTATGTACGATGTCGATTGTAAACTTCAAACCACCAATCTCTAATCAAATTTCTACATATGCAAGTCTCTTTCTCGTAAAACTTCAAACCACCAACCTCTGATTAAACCTCTACAATACAAGTCTGTTCCATAGATTGTTTTGGGCGAAAAGTATAAAATCATATAGTAGATCAAATAAATGAGATCAATGATTCAAATTCTAATGATAATCCCGTATTAGATGAGCATAACTATGTATCAATATGTACTGAATTAGTAAGTTTGACTATTGTAATCTTATCTCACACTCTTTTCAGAGTAGAAAACTGCGATAAAATAGAGAAATTGTAAGAAAAATTAGTAAACAAAATGATCCGAATTGTGGAAGAACTCATCGGATTGACCAAGACTTGATCAATATTATCTTCATCTCTCTTCATAAGAATACAAGGAGGCTCTAATTTCTTAAAGGCCACCAAATGTCACAACTAACCATTATTAGATTCCTTGCATCTAATTTATTTGTTTACACAAGCGTTACACGGCATAATCAATTAAATACAAGCATTCACCAAGCATAATCAAAATTGTCAACTATGTATAATAATTTAACAATTACACATTCAACTCCTCCTGCAAAATAAAAATAAAAATTGTACATGAAACACTTAAACAATTCAGGCAGCATTAGAATATAAAAATTGTGATATTGAATCCCACATAACTGAATAAATTATTGAATGTTACACGTTAATTATGTATCGTGAAACCTTATAAAGTAAGAAATAGATGATATTCGTACTAAAATTAAACATAAAAAGCCAAAAAAACATGTATTCTAAAATGTATCGAGCTGATTACTTACCAAATCACTTCTTTTTTTAATTTATACTATAAAAATGAGTATTCCATTTAACATAATAATAAAAAAAAAAAATGGTTCGTTTCCATTCCCACCTAAAACGGCTAAATTAAGAGAGAGCATGAGAGACTGAAAGCATGGCTCTTTCTTCTTTGTTCTTCTTCTTCATCTTCCCCACCCTCTCCCCTCTTGTCTCTGAAAAACTGTCTCCTTGTTTCAGGAAAGAGTAGGAGAAGCTCCCTCTTCGCATTTTTTTTTTATCCTCTCCCCCTTCCAAAATCAACGAATTCCGTACATTTCGCGCGTACGAAATTATTACATTAACTAACCTTTCAGTCGAACAACTTCGTTCCTCTCCTTTCAGTCTGACACTCGCACTCACATTCGCTCGCTCTTCATCGTCGTAAAAAAAAAATATGGCGATGGCGAAAGTGTAGAAAGAGGAGAAAGACGATGACGGCGGTGATGATCGGTTGCCGGATCCACCACGATCAGGAATCGGCGGCTCTGTTGTTTCTGTACCACAATGTCCAGAGCGTGAAGCGATTCGTATTGGGATTCGTACTGCTCGTCCTCCTCATCTACAATGGCTCCACCGTCTTCTACGTCAGCGTCCCGTTCTTCCCCGCCGCCACTTCCCCGGCGGACGCTCCATCCAATTTCTCCTCCGCCGCCGCCGCGGAAGCGAAATCCGGCCACCTCCACCTGATGGAGGGGAAAAAAACCTCGCCAACAGAGTCGCTGGCATCGTCATTCCCCGTCATCCCCCTCCACGCGCTCAGCGAGCCGCTGCCTCCCACGCGCTTCCCCGCCCCGGTGGGACCCACCGTCGCCACGAGGCCCGGACGAAAGGGCCGATCCGCTAAGTGGCACGTGGCGGACGAGATCCGGCGGTTCGATCCGGGTCGGGCACACGAATCCGGATCAAAACTCACATTCTCCACCCGGATCCGGGAATTCTTCCGGGGCTCCGACTGCAAGCTCCGTTTCTTCATGACGCTGATCTCCCCCACCGTGGATTCGTTCGGCGAGAGAGAATCCTTCGCCGTCGATAGCCTCTTCCGATCCCACCGAAACGCCTGCCTCGTCATCGTCTCAAATTCGATGGACTCCGAACAGGGGCGAGCGCTGCTGAAACCATTCATCGACAACCAATTCCGGGTCACCGCCGTGAAGCCCGACTTCGCTGCCGCGTTCAAAAACACGCCCGCCGAGACCTGGTTCCGCGACCTGAAGTCGGGTCGGGTCAGACCCGGGGACGTCCCCGTCGCGCAGAACCTCTCCAATTTGCTCCGCCTCGCCCTGCTGTACAAATTCGGCGGGATCTACCTCGATACCGACGTCGTGGTCCTGCGGAGCTTCAACGGGTTGAGGAATTGCATCGGCGCACAGACCGTCGACGCCGTGACGGGGAATTGGAGCCGGCTGAACAACGCCGTGTTGATTTTCGATCGGAACCACCCGCTGGTTTATCGGTTCATCGAGGAGTTCGCGAGGACGTTCGACGGGAGCAAGTGGGGGCACAACGGGCCGTATCTGGTTTCGAGGGTTGTGGAGAGGGTGATTGGGGATTCGGGTTTTAATTTCACGGTGATGCCGCCGGCGGCGTTTTATCCGGTGGATTGGAGCAGGATTGCGGCCCTGTTTCACGGTCCGAGGGGAAGGGTTCACGCGCGGTGGCTGAGGAAGAAGCTGGAGCAGATCAAGAAGGAGAGCTTCGCCGTACATTTGTGGAATCGGCAGAGTCGGGATGTGAAGATTGAAGATGGAAGCGTGATGAGTCGGATTAGGATGGAGTACTGTAGTACTTTCTGCAACTCTTCTTCTTCTTCTTCTTCTTGATTCTTGGTTTAATTAGTTTGTTTTTGTATTCCATTTGTAGTGTAGATGATGGAAAGGAGAATCCTTTTCCATTGAAAAATTTTAGAGGTTTTGTTCTATTTTGATTTCTTATTTTTCCACATCATTATTCGATAAATTAATGATAAATCGTTAGTTATTATTATGTTAATAAAAGTCGAGTGGATTGGAAGACGAGATATACATAGCAACAAGCTAGTCACTTTGTTATAACATAGAGATCTCTCGTTTCTTTTGTTTATATGTTATGTTAGTTATGTTTGGATAAATGCATGATGGATTTTATGTTACTTGGTTTGTTTATTTAGGTTCGACTAATTAATGTATTTGTAGATGGAAGCATTTTACGAGATCAGAAAAACTGAATAAGGAGACGACGACAATATCATGTTTGTAATTCAATATAATCCAACACTTCCTGTTGGAAGATGGAGAGGTTTTCTCATTGTGTATTTATCAATGAGCGGATTGGATGGTAAATGTATGTTACTTCATTAGTTAACTGCTTAATATAGTTGGCGTTGCTCGGTTTATTTATAAATGAGCATCCTACCGATGTTATTGGCGGAGTTGGAAGGATTAAGAGACAAGAGGAAAGCTCATTTTTTGTGGGTTGATCAACACGTAATGTTCCAACAAGTTGATAAGGAAGGAAGAAGTCTTGATAAAGTATATCAAACGTGAAAATCGAAAGAATATATTTGTTCTTATCAATTTACTAGCGTGGGCCCCGGCCAGTTGGCCGGAGAAAGGTGAGGTATGAAATTTGATAATGTAATGGGGTGTATAGCTTATTATTGTATAGTTTTTTTGGAAAACACGTGATAAAAATAGTGAATTTTAGTAGGAAAGAGACATAAATGATGCAACGAATCAAAAATCAGCCTTATGAACCAAAATCAAGTACATGTTACCTTGTGAAACAATATTGTTTCTGGCAATATGATGAGGTGAAGTAAGTTTTAGAGAAACTGAATTCCATAAAATCGAATAAAAAATCGTCTATCCCGCCGGTTTTGGGAAATGAGCATCTCACAATTGTTGCTAGTTTTTTCTCGGCCCGTTGGCCGATTAATTTGCTTTATAGAACTTTCATCTTGTCGTCATTGTGTTTTCTGGTTTTTGCCAAGCCATGATAAAATCTAAAGAAATCAAGAATGAACAACACGATTTGGGATAGGAACCGCCGTTCCTGTATCCCTAGAAAATGGTGGTAAACACGAACTCACTTGCCAAACTGGTTTGGATTGAGATTTTTATCCGGTATCAGGGAACCATGTGATTATAAATTAGACATGATCAAAACGGGCAAAAATTTGAAATTCAGCATGTTTGACCGACCCATGCCAAACTCTAACTATTCTTTACTTTCAAATTTTCTATTTGAAAATAAAAAATAATGAAAGAAAAGAGATGACTGCAATTCGCCATTTGCACATTACTAATTCGGGAATAAAACTATAGAATTTCGAAAGAAAGCTGAAAATGTTTAGGATCGTTTTAATGTTAAAATAACCAAATAGATCTTTCTGTTTATTTTTTTACTAACAAATACCAAACGATTCCCTATAAAATACACTATTATTTAATAATTATGATATCAAATAATCACATAATATATATTTGAAATGATAAAAATTGGACTAATTGGGTTGGTTGAGGTTGAACCATTGAATAATTTTAAAATACATTATATTTTAGCCACTAAGATATAAAATAATAGCATAATATATATTATGCTAGAGAAAATAACTTGTTTTAGAATGGCAAACCCATGATGTTCATTTGTTTTACTTGATGGGCAAATCTCATGTAGGTCAGGCTCATTCAACTCTTTTATTTTATGGTTAACGGTTAGCCTATTAGAATCCATGCATTAGTTTCTTTTTAGCAATAAAAAGGAGTATTGTTTTTCTATTTTCATATATATATTTTACCATCACGGAGAAATAAAAGGACTTAAAGAAAAAAATTGACACTCCTAGACCCGTTTAAATCCGCATGCATGTGTATGGTAAGATGGCCCGTTCCACAGCGAAAAAAGAAAAAAATTTGGCACTCCCTATTCTACCCTTCCTACAAACGCTCCTGGAGCAGAGAATTTGAAATGAGGGAAGAGTTTTTTCCTCTATGCTATTATATGTTTTTAATTTAAAAAGATACAACAAATGTACTTAGTGTGATTGGTTATGATGTTTGCTTTTCTTTAAAGTGGTCATGGTTCGAATCCTAGTATGTGCCATTTTTAATGAATAAAAAAAAAAGTAATTGTGAAGACCAAAATATCCTTCCTACTTTCACTCTGGATGCAGGAAATTTGAAATGGAGCTTCAAGTTTTCTCATTTGGCTTTTATTTATTGTGTAGATTTATGTTTAGATTTTCCTTGAATAGGTCGAAATTATATTTGTTTGAACTTCACATCTTTCAAGTGAAATTAGTCTAAACCAAATTGAAAATATAAACAGGATGAAACAATTTATCGAATGCCGCATAAAAAAAATTAGTGAATGTTTAACCCATAATAAGAGATGTCTTGTGACAAAAATAAAAATAAAAAGGTACATTTATGTTAGCCTCAACTCTCAAGCCAATAAACACAAACGGCACCCTAAACTTATTGGCCTCTTCTGCATCAATTTGGACCATTGACATGTTTTATTCTTTGTTATTTGTTTCTTTATTGTCTGCTAGTGGTATCTGGCAGTTGTTTGAGGTCATGCTTCCTCCTAGGAAACTGCTACATATATTTCCTCAAACCAACAATTGGCTGCTGATATATGCAGCTTTTGATTTAGTGAAGCTCATGCAACTTCAATGAGATTGTGGTTGTTCAACCATGGAAAAAGGATGATATCATCTCCAACCCTTGGTTCTAAGGAGTTTGTTTGTCATCTAATCAACAACCTCACTCGATTTTACTGTCACACTGACGGTAACTTAAGAGGTCAAATTCAATGATGTTCTCTCATTACTTCAACATTCATCTACCAGCAGCAACACACTATTCATCTACCAGCCCCATCTTTGTGAAACCACTTTCATGGAACATTGCAGAGTAGCTTGAATCCACAGCTCTCAGGATGGAAAGAAAAAAATGAGTCACTCTACATTCTATACATCTGTTTCTTGTACAAGTATATAAGAGTCCTCCTATATCAAACCACACAAGCTCTTCACCATGAGGAATCAGACAATCGTTCCTTCGATACCAATCGTTCTGCATCTCCCAATTCAACTTCACGCCTCTGCCAGTCCCCACCACCGTCCTCGAACAGCATCACGATCTGCTCCAACGATTTCCCTTTCGTCTCGGGCACGCAACCATACACAAACAGAACAGCAAGACCAGAGATGACAGCAAACACACAAAAAGTCCCACCAACTGTGATCGCACGACACACCGAGAGAAACGTCATGGTGACTAGACCGCTGCTCACCCTGCTCGCGACGGCTCCCAGAGCAGACGCCTGAGCCCTTAGCCTCAATGGAAAGATCTCCGATGAAAGCACCCAACAGATCGGACCGAGCCCCACCGAGAAGAAAGCCACATTGGCACAAACAGATAGCAATGCAAAGGTGATCCCAAGCCTTCCATTATCCCTCAGGAATGATAAGGTCAGGCTCAAAGAAAGCAAGCTCATGGTCATCCCAATTGTGCTCAAGTAAAGCAATGGCTTTCTACCTAGTTTATCAATCAGGAATGTGGCAAACAAGATAAACACAGTTTTAGTGAACCCCACGGCAACTGTTGCTGCAAGAACCTGAGCATTCCCCTGGATTCCAGCATGTTTGAAGATTGTTGGGCTGTAGTACACAGTAGCTTCTATACCTGTGATCTGTTGAAAGCATTGGATTCCACAGCCAGTGATTAGCATTCGCTTGGCTGCTGGAGATGGGTTTAGAATTTCAAACCACACTGCTTTCTTGTCATATCTCTCGGTATTGGCTTCCTCTGCAGCTACTAGAATTTCAGCTAATCTCTCTTCCACTTCTTGCTCACTTTCATTGGTCTTGGAAAGCACCAACCTTGCCTCGTCGATTCGGTTCTTCATTGCCAGCCATCTAGGCGATTCGGGGATCACGAACAGTGCAAAACCAAGGAAGATTGAAGGCAAGATGCCTACACCAAGCATGACCCTCCAGCTCATGTGGACCGATAGGCCCGAGAATGCATAGTTCGAAATGTACCCTAAGAGTATACCGAAATTTACAAAAATCTCTGGGAATGAGGTCAGGGACCCTCTCGCCACCGAAGGCGCGATCTCTACTATGTACACCGGAGCAATCGCGACTCCAAACCCTATCCCTACTCCTGCCGTGAGCCTGCCTATCATCAAAACCCTGAAGGAAGGTGCAAGAGCCATGATTGCACCTCCTGATTGGAAGATGATGGCTGATAATGCTATCGTCCATTTTCGGCCTATGATATCCGATGTTCTGCCTCCGATCAAGCTCCCGAATAGGGAGACAATGCTTAAGATCCCAACCAGGATTTCTTCTTCGGTTTCTGATATCTGGAGGTCTTCTTGGATGAAGATCACTGCTCCACTCATTACACCCACATCTGCAGATTGATCAATAGCAAAATTGAGCTAAGATGAAGGGAGTTTTCCCTTTTGGAATACAATGCTGGTCTTGCAACCAAATTGTGTGATAAACCCCAATTGGTAAACTATTGTTCAGAAAATGAGAAAGCTAACAAGTTCTTATGCTTTTTCAAAAGGGGAAATCCGTAATCAAATCAGGGGAATGAAAGAAAGACAGAATTTTCTCGGAAGCCAAACAACCCATATGAAACTCACGGAATCGGGGGAAAAGAAAGGAAGGAACTTTAAAGGGGAAGATCTATGTACCAACCATAACCCATGAGCACGGAATTGAGAGAGGCGAAGATGGCACAGGCAAACACGTATTTCCTCGTATCGTATTTCTTCACGGCAATCGCTTTCTCCGACGACGGCGTACCCGCTTCGCTGCCGGCGTAATCTATCCTCGAGTACTTGGTATCTATATTGCTGCCGCCGTCTCCGTATCCATTTCCTTCCTCTTGCATTCCCATTTTTTCCCCCCACCTCTGGATTGAAAACAATGAAATATTTACCAAATTCGTCGGGAAAGAAGGCAACAATTTTCCTGATTTTTTCTTGTTTTATTTATTTATCACTTCCCTCCTTCGATCAAGAACACAAAATCGCGGGTTACCCAGATCTGGGAACGAAAGGGAGGAGGGAAAATCTGGGAAAGGAAGAATCCGCGGTAAGAAAATCCGGGGAAAGTAAATATTTTCCTCTGGTGCAAGAAATTAAAATAAATAATTATGGTGGGTCCCGCTAAATCTTTGACGTGTCGCTCGCCGATGTAATCAGACGGGCAGTTAAATTTACATTTTCGTCCCTTTGGTTGAACCGCGGGAAACGTTTTTGAGTGGACAAAAAGTGCGCCTATTTACTTTTTCTTCTTCCCCTGGCTCTTCAGTCTGCGCTCTGAGGCATAGTTAATAAAATACGGTACGGGAAAGTTACGTATAAAATACGTACGAGTATTTTACTTTGTTTTTATGCTAATGTTATGTTTAATAGTACGTTAATTGTTATAAATATATAAATTTAATTATTTTAAAAATAAATAAATATATAAATAATAGTAAAGTTCATAATTTGATTCATTAAATACGGATATTAAACGTGTTATACGGGTTTTAAACGTGTTTAATACGGGAGCCATCAAATGAACGGTAAAAAAAGAAACGGCTTGACAATATTACGGATACGGAAGTTTTAAACGAATAAAGTACGTACGGGTACATATACGTGTATTAAACGGAGTATTTACTAACTATGCTCTGAGGAAATCCTCAGGGTAAAATTGGTAAACAAAGTGCGTCAGTGGACCCAGCTGAATTATCAGCCAACAATCATATGGGCCGAATATCCCGTTAGGGCCCATTATCCATTTTGGGCTGCTTAATGACGGACGGATGTTGTCGTTTAGCTATATATTAATAATCATAATAATCTAGATTAATTAGCATGATAATCATAGTCGGGAGCTACAGCCTACAGCTGAATAATTAATATATTTGACTGGCCCATTATAGTCGTTAATGAATGTGTAGCCGAGTGATTAGACTGTTGTCGTAATTGAGTTTATATTTGTTTAATCGTTAATGGGTTGGTGCTGCATGATCATCCTTCTGGGACGTGGATTAAAGAAAGAATGGCTAGTTAAAACGTTGTTTAGGTTTGAAGAGAAGAATAGTTGTCGTCGTGGGGTTGATAATAATAATAATAATAAGGGTTAATACAATATATTAGCCACAAGTATTATGAAACGGGGAATTATAGTCACAACTATGAAAATTCAAATTATTAGCCATAACTATTGTTGCAGGTCAAGATATGGCTAACTGTCCGTTATTGTTATTGAATTTTTGACGGAGAATCCCACGTCATCGGCCACGACAGCGGCCAAGTAGGAATGCTTTTAGTTTATAACTTCAAAACATAAAAGTTTAGTCAGTATTACTAACGAAATTGTTAACAGATAGTTAACGTTTGGCTAATAATTTGAATTTCAATAGTTGTGGCTATAATTTCCCGCTTCATAATAGTTGTGGCTAATATATTGTATTTACATAATAATAATAATAATAATAATAATAATAATGATTACCATGCACGGCACGCTCATGGTCGTAATCACGGTGACGGCCGACTGACTCCAATTATATGCTATCCCATCTTTTTTTTTTTTTTTTTTACCAATAGATCACTTGTATTACCAAGGCAAACAGCTAGAACAGTTTACAACTCAAGAACAAACCAACGAACAAAATCAAAAGTATCTACAACTGCAGGCAACAAAGAAAGGGTCTTCCTAGCCACTTCATGGGCCACCCGATTGTTACTCCTGCCAATAAAAGCCATCTCCAAACGCAAGAACCGCAGCCGCAACTTCCGAATTTCCTCAAGAATCCGGCCTCCTTTCACATCCCGAGCATCCATCCTCTGAATTTTCTCAATGACAACCTTCGCATCCCCACAGAATTGCACTTCAGCTAGTCCCTTCATAGAGCACCACCGAATTGCATCACGAAACGCCACCAGTTCCACCAGAAACGGATCCTCCAGACCTGCATAAGAAAATCCTTGCACAAAACATACCCTCCCCACCCCATCATAGACCACCAAGCCACCAGCACCATGTGAGCCAGCACGTACAGCACCATCCACATAGCATCGATAAGGCATAGCAGTCTGAGATCTACCAGCCACACAATTCGCAACCCCTCCCTGTATCCCCCGATTCCCTCTATTCCGCCCATCCTCAGCCAGACTTAACCACTCACGGACCTGCTCCTCAAATTGCCTCACCAGCGCACTCACCCCATACTGAACATGATCAAACACTACCCAATTTCTACTCTTCCAAATTCTCCAAAGAGTTGCCACAAACCGGATTGTTCTCTCTTCACTGGCCTCCTGCTCAAAAAGAGAGCGGCGAAGGAACATAGCAAAGTTCAACGGAGGCTCCCTCACAAGCTCTTCCTCCAGACCCGACCTCTCCCAGAGCATCCTTGCCATCCTGCAAGAAAGAAACATATGCTCCAAAGTCTCCAACGGCGCCCAACAGACCGGGCACCTGGGATCGACGACATCTTCTCCCGCATCAGGCTCCTCTTCCCCAGGTACTCTACCAGTCCGCTCAGTTATCGTCTCCATAGTAGGAAGGATCCGCTTCATGCTCTGCCAAAGAAAGCACTTCAACTTTGGCGGAATGGGCAGTCCCCAGAGCTTCTTCCAACACTTCATATCAAAAAATGACACCTCAGTCTTCCACTCCTGACTCTGCCTAGCATATTTAAAGGCTAAATGATACCCCGACTTCACCGAATACTCCCCATCCCCCTCACCGGTCCAGACCTGGCTATCTTCCACCCCACCCCTCGGCAGTGGTATAGCCTGAATAGCCTGCACTATCGGTCTAGGGAAGCATTGGTCCAAGCATTCCAAACACCATTCACCCTTGCCAGGTACCAACAGCGAGTTAACCATTACTCCTGTCAGATCCGGAGCCGAGGCCTTCACCTCCAGCTCCGCCGGACTAATACCCAGGATCCAGTTATCCTCCCTAATTCTGACCTGTGAGCCTACTCCAATCTGCCACTCAAGACCCTTGACAAGCAAGTCCCTTCCATGCAAAATACTGATCCAACCCCATGAAGGTCTCGACCTACGTGTTGCTGTAAGAATAGATGTTCGGGGGAAGTATTTCCCTTTCAGTACCCTTGCCAGCAACGAATCCGGCTCCTTCCAAATTCTCCAGGCTACCTTTGCCAATAACGCCTGGTTAAAATTCTCGAATCGTCGAAACCCCAGACCGCCATCAAATTTGCTCCTGCATAGGTTACGCCAGGACACCCAATGAGCCTTGTCCTTCTCTCCTGAGAATCCCCACCAGAACCGCGCCATATACTTATCCAGCTTACGACAAAGAGTCACTGGTAGCAGGAAGCACGACATGACATAGATCGGGAGGGCCGCAGCCACCGCCTTCAACAATACTTCCTTTGCTGCCCACGACAGTTTCTTCTGCTTCCATCCTTGGAGCTTAGCCAATAATCTCTCTTCAAGGTATCGAAACGTTTCCAATTTCGATCTCTGCACTAGAGAAGGAAGACCCAAGTACCTGTCCTGAACACCAATCGCTCCCACTCCTAAAATGGCTGCCATCTCTTCTGCCTCCGGGGGATCCACATTCCCACTAAAACAAATCGCAGACTTGCTCAAATTTACTTTCTGACCACTCAACTCCTGGTACTCCCTTAACAGACCAAGTAATGTTTCACACTCAGTCTTGGAAGCCCTGAGAAAAAGATATGAGTCATCCGCAAAGAAAAGATGAGACACACTAGGGCTCTGGGGATTAACCTTGACTCCAACTAAACTCCTAGTCTGAATCGCCTTTCTAATCAGTGCCGCAAATCCTTCAGAGCAAATGGCAAATAATAATGGAGACAGAGGATCTCCTTGACGTAACCCCCTCGTCGATCTAAAATACCCAGACGGGGTACCATTCATCATTACCGAGAATGACGCTGTAGAAACACATTCCTGTATCCACCCAATCCATTGAGCACTAAACCCCATCTTAGACATTAAAGCAAGCAAGAAGGACCACTCAACTCTATCATAGGCCTTTTCCATATCAACCTTTAGAGCTAAGTACCCTTTCTTCCCCTGCTTTTTAATCTTAAGATAGTGCATAATCTCATGCCCGATCAGAACATTGTCCACTATCTGACGTTCACGAATAAACCCATTCTGCTCCGGTGAGATAACTGAAGGCAAAATGATGGCCATTCGCTCCGCCATGATTTTTGAAATAATCTTATAAAACACTTGACAAAGACTGATCGGTCGAATCTGCTTCATCGTTTCAACTGTTTCCACCTTAGGAACCAAGGTCAACCACGTATGATTGAAACTCCTCAGCATTCTACCAGATCGAAAAAATGACTGGACCGCTTCCACCACATCCGGACCCACAATGTCCCAATAACTACGATAGAATTTGCCCGTGAATCCATCAGATCCAGGCGCCTGGGTAGCTCCTATATCAAATACCGCTCTCCTGATTTCCAATGCTGTGACCTCCGCTGTCAAACTTCTGTTCATCTCCTCAGTGACAGAGGCAGGGACTGGAAGCTCAGACACCCGCGCCATCATATCCTGTATCTGATTCTCTGAACGAAACAGATGATCATAAAAGCCACATGCCACCTCGCCCTTTTGTCCTTCATCAGTCACCCAAATCCCATCGTCATTCTTTAGCCCCTCTATGAAATTTCTCCTCCGCCTGGTTCTTGTAACCGTATGAAAATATCCAGAATTTTGATCCCCAGCACTCAGCCACTGCACTCTCGATTTTTGTCGCCAGAAGATTTCTTCATTCACCCATTGCCTCGCTAATTCTCTCTCAAGCTCCACTACTCGTTCCCAGTCCACATTTCCTTCACCTTTTATCGCCTCAATCTCCGTCTGTAATATACGAATGTTC